AGAATCCCTCCTATACTTGAGGGCCCTGGATAACCTTGACTACTTCCACCAAAATTCAGTTTTACCGCTCTTTTTGGAATGGATTTCCATTCTACTTGTAGATTGTTCCGTCAAAATTTTCTATGTTTCCATCACCTTACTTGATCCATTTACATCTATATTTCTGCCTCCAAGAGATTTCTTCTCGCAAGAGGACCTCTTCTAAATCCCTCTTAAGCTTCCATTTCAATTCTCTTTCCCAAGTATTCATGATTCTTTGAGATTCCTGCACATCCAGTTCCTCTATTTGGATCATCAAAGAAGATTTCAGTTCTTCTATTCTCCCAAATTGGTTCCTGTTCCATTCCTCCAAATTTGACCTCAAACTTTTCATTTTTTTTATGAAATCTTACCCCTTTCCACTTCACCCCCTTATTTCTACTCTCCACCATTCCTCAATCTTCTTCACAAAGTTTGGGTATGTAAACCACATCTTTTCAAACCTAAGGGTTGGGGTCCTCACCTCAAAGGTTCCTGTCCTAACTGAATGGAACAATGATCAGAAGTAACTCTAGGTAGAGCTTTAGTTATCAAATCCCTTCAATGATTTTCCTAGATTTCTTTAAATAGGAATCTGTCTAGCTTTGAGCAGGTTGGTATTTCCCAAAAGTTGGACCATGTATAGTGAACTTGCAATGGAAGGAGTTCCTTCAACTCGTAGCTATTAATGAATTCATTGAACATCCTTATGCTGGTTGTAATAGTCTGCTGGGGATTATTTGACTCATTACCAAATTACATTAAAAATCCCCCCCAAACACCAAGGACCTTGCCATAACCCTTGATTCCCATATAGTAGTTCTTCCCAGAACTCATTCCTTTCTCTGTAATTGTTTGGTCCATACACATTAGTTAGTGCCCAAGTGAATCCATCCTCCCCAAATCCTCTTTAATTTCTCATTCTGCAAATTTTCTGAGACTAATTCTCCTCCACCGTTTTCACAACCTTTAATCCCAGTCTCTACTATCCTTTCTTGAAATTCGAACTTGTCTAGGTTTCCTTCCAACAATTCCTCTTTCAACTTGTACTCCTTAAAGTGCAAACATATTTGATCCTAGATCTTTTCTTCCTTCTCATCTTGAATCTCTCTTACTCAGATCTTCCTCATGTCCATTACCCTCACTGTCCCCATTGAGAAACTCCCCTTCCATGGTTACTCCTTCCGGTTGAGGTGCTAGAGTGCCTGTACCAAGCACAAAACCCACATCAGTACCAAAAACAGAATTGACAAACTTACCTGGAAAGGTAGGGGAAGTTGATAACGAAGCTGAAGACCCAGCAACAGGGGAAGAGACAGAGGCCAATCCTTACGTGTGAAGTAACTGTGGGATTAAAGTAGGCTTGACTATAACTGTGTTAACCATATTGGAATCCACCTTAAAGTGTTGTCCCCCAACTGATGACTTTTGTTCAGTGGTAGAGACAATTTCTATCCCTCTGAACCTCTATCAATTTTGGGCAGCTCTAAGGGACTAGAATAATTTTCGGATTTGATGTGCCTTGGCTCTCCTCTATAAAAGCTACCATCTTCACCGCTTCCTTAAGTGGGATAAGATTTTGAGAGGGCTTCTTCTAAACAACTTCTATCAGTCCTACATGTCCTCGTTTTCTAAGAATAGTAGCTCAATGTGGAAGTTTCATCATTAGTGAATGTTGGATCTTGACTATTCCACACTTCTGTTGTTGAGTGTGTCTTCAGTTTCAGAATCCGAGCTGTTGTTTTCCTCCGACAAGCAGCCCTCAAAGACATCAGTTTCATTGTGATCCGCCACCTCAAAATTGTTGGAATACCTCGCCTCAACAGCCGGAGGGTGTTTCTTAATTCGATGGACCAAACTGATCCAGATCAGCTAACCAGTTTGGACCTGGATTTTTAACCGACCCTTACTCCTTGTTGATTTTTGAACTCCCTGCATATGCTTGAGCATAGGAGCTTCCAGCTCTCTCCCTGCTCTGTCCTGAGTTCTTTCCTCAGGTGCTAAGATTAGCTTCTTTTCTCTCATCTTTTTTGGTCTCCACAGTTGACTTAGCCACTTTTATGTTAACATTTTTGCCTTGCAACCCATGTAACCAAACCTGTTTTGTCTCTTCATCTTCCACCCTTCAACCCTCCTTCCACATCTGAGCTTCAATGGAGGTTTCCAGCCAAATAGGGTATGATAATCCATCTGCTCTACCTCTGTCCTTGGAATGTCACTGGGTTTCACTCCACTTAGATTCAACGCAATTGAATGAAGATCACAGCTGAAGACTCCATCTGATCTGGCATCACAGGTTCAAGCTATTGACCTGTAGCAACTCTTCCTTCCAAAGATTGAATGGCAGACCAAGCAACCGAACAATAACATTATCCTCAATCTCAAATCTTTTGATGTTTGAAAGAGGACACCATTTCGAAACTGTGAAAGCACCAACCTTTGAAAGAAAATTTAATGCCGAGATCTCTACTTCAACTTCACCTAGATCAAACAAGGCCTTGCAAGTTGCATAAGGTGTAATAACAATCAGATTTGCCAGTTTTAATTCTCTTAGAATATAACCTGTGCAATCCTTTTCCAGTCTTTTGGTGGGTTTGATGTATCCACCACATATTTCTTCCCCCACTCATCCTTTCCTCCTGTTGATATTAGTTTACAGATTCTTCCCTTTTCCACAATTACCAAGTTATTTTTGAGTGGTTTCTTCCTTTCCATTTCGTCTAGCCACTTCTCTTTGCCCTTCTAAAGCTTATGTTTGTTTTGTTTTCAGCCAGAGTACAAAGTCACTCAATAGCTCAGCCACTTCCTTCCAGCCTTGACCTCTTTTACCTTCTGGGAAGCAAACTAATTTTGTCCCCCAAAAAATTCCTGTAGTGTTATGTAGAGGTGTCAATTGGACTGGATTTGGTCCAACCCGATCCAGTCCAATGTGAGTCCACTCACAAATGGACTGGACCCAATCCAGTCCAAATCCAATACAAACCAGATCCAATTCAATCCATTAAAATGTAAATGGACTGGATTGGATCCAATCCAAACTGAATGAAATATAAAAAATTATATAAAAAAACAGAACATATAAAAAATTACAAAAATATATTAAAATGAAGAAAATCTGAAAACTACAAAAATATACCCTTTTGGCATTGAAAAAGCACTTTTGTAAAAGTGCTTTCATAAAAGTACTTTGATAAAAGTACTTCAGTAAAAGTGCTTTTACAAAAGCAGTTTTATGAAAGTACTTCGTAAAAGTGCTTTCATAAAAAGTACTTTTATAAAAGTAGTTCTGTAGAAGTGCTTTTATAAAAGTACTTTCGTATAAGTGCTTTTGTAAAAGTACTTTTATAAACGTACTTTCATAGAAGTGCTTTTGTAAAAGTGCTTTTATAGAAATGCTTTCGTAAAAATACTTTTACAAAAGAACTTTTGTAAGTGCTTTTACAAAAGTACTTTCATAAAAGTGCTTTCGTAAAAGTGCTTTTATAAAATTACTTTCATAAAAGTGCTTTCGTAAAAGTGCTTTTATAAAAGTACTTTCATAAAAGTGCTTTTGTAAAAGTGCTTTTATAAAAGTACTTCCATAAAAGTGCTTTTATAGAAAGTACTTCCATAAAAGTTTCTTTTGTAAAAGTGCTTTCATAGTACTTTTGTAAAAGTGCTTTATAAAAGTGCTTTCGTAAAAGTGCTTTTATAAAACTACTTTTGTAAAAGTGCTTTCATAAAAGTACTTTTGTAAAAGTGCTTTCGTAAAAGTACTTTTCATAAAATTACTTTTATAAAAGTACTTTTGTAAAAGTGTTTTCGTAAAAGTACTTTCATAAAAGTGATTTTATGCCGGCTTCAATTTTGGTCAGTTTGAAATTAGACAAGGGTTTGACCTCATGATCAGATTATTGGAAATTTGGTTTAGGTCCAATTTAGACCAATAAGAATATGGACCAATTTATTTTGGATTGACCCAATCCAATAATTACAATAGACCGTCCAAATCCGGTTTGATAAGTTTTGGATCGGATTGGATAAGTTTTGGATCCGATCCAAAACCAGTTGATTGACACCCCTAGTGTTATGTAGAGACCTTTGACATTCTTCTTGCATTCAAGCTCATATCTTTTCCTTCCATCGAAGTCAAAATCCTTATAGTTTACCTGCTTACCTTTCGAGCTTGCTCCCATTACAAACTTCTGCAACCATTCAATCACTCGGCACCTTCCAGCAGCACCATGGCTTTCTTAGCCTCCCTGATATTCAAACTCCGCAACCCTTTGATCCTGATCTCTTTGAAGATGAAATCTTTTGCTTCAATCTTCAAAGCTTTCCTCCATCTTGCAGCTTCCACAAACCTTTCCTCCGTTTCTACCATACATTCTCCAACAACCTTTTCACTCACCTAATACCATTACTACTGTAGCAAAATAGTTCTAGGAGGAGTGTACATCAGGTTCAGTTCTGAAATCCATAAAAATTTAATTTGTTTTTGTTGTTTCATCCTTTTATTACTTTGAATATTGTTGTTCTCTTGAAGTACTACATATATCTTGCTTGTCTATCCACATCAGTAACCAAGGAAAGAAATAGGAGAGAGAGAAAGAAGAGAACTTATTAGAGAAGGGTTTGATCTACTCAGAAGAGAGAAGAAAATTTGTACTCTTCTTAAGCAGTCGGCCCATATTTATATTAACTTAATTAATCTCAGATTTACAATAATGTCCCTGTTTAATGAAAATGAAGGACTGGAGCATCCTTAATATAAAGAGGAAAAGACTAAACTACCCTGCCACCCAATAATTAAGTAAATGCATAATAAATCAGCAAAGATCATATTAGAAAGGATCAATTATGGGTTATGATTATCCAATTTAGATGTTCTACCAATGGATTTCCTAGAAAGACCCACTAAACAATATACCCTGGTCCCTGTTCATGCATTTAAAGATAAGAGGGAAAAAATAGAAATGATAAGAATAGGCATGAAGTCTGACCATGTATAAAGGATACGTTCCAGGGATTTCTGAACTTCCTGCTGCTGAAAGAAAGTGACATCAGGTACAGTCCTAGGACAATCAACAGCAATCTGATGCAGTAAAATCAAGCAACAGGAGTGGCACAGCAAACAGTAAGTTGATATCATTTTCTAAAATCAGGAAAAACAGTTGAGAATTCAGATGTAAATTCAGTCAAGCACCGAGATTTACCTGCCGAAGCATGTTGATCTCATCATCTGAACGTTCTGCATCAGGAATATCATAATATTGAGAAACACATTCCAGGTACTCAAGCCGCTTCCTTGTCAGAACACCATCCCTTCTATCTGAATTAGGTGATGCATATCCCTGTTGTCAGTTCATGTTTAAATTTCAAACAAGCACTAAAATTGTTGAATTCTGAAAAAGTGAAGCTGAAGAAGTTGAATTAGGACGATTGTGGAATCTAGGTAGATAGTACAGCTCAGTGCAATGTCTCTAGTTGGCCAATGTTTTGAAAGCCAAACTAGAGATAAAACGAGAAAGCCAAGTGATTCCTTGCTTTCCCATTTTAACTAGCAATTTAATCACTTGAAACTGTTCATCCAACTAAAAACCATTAATCTGAAATTCTATCCAGATTATGATTTTAAACAATGAATAAATGGTCCACTCCTGTTTTTGAAAATATATTGGTTTGGGCGTATGAAATGCAGTGACTATTGTCCTTAGATCCTTAATCCAGTCGAAACTGCTGATCATCTACTCTATGAGATACCAACATTTTTACTGTTAAACAAGCACAATGAAAAAGTTATATATAAAGAAAGGTTCTCTATGAGATATCAACATATTTGTTTTATTTATATATTTTAATAAGTTAGTTATAAATACAGCCAGGTTGTTCATCCTTAACTTTTAAAGCAAAATTTATCAAATACGAACACATATTACTGAATATGAATCAAATACAAAAATTTTCCATGCTTAAAATTTGCCAAATTTCAAAGAATGGCAAGACCAGCTTTGCATTTGTAGAGAAGATGGACCGAATGGCCCATAGGCTCTTTATCCTTTTTTATCTTTTATGTTCTTTGCAGTAATGGGCCTTAATCTATGCTTTATTCTTTCTTATTTTATGTCCTTTTAATTTTCTGCCCAACTAGGGGCTTCTCTGTTTACTAAAGTTTAACTTAATGAAATAGAATTAAGGGAGTAAGAGAAGAGGTTATGTTCAAAAATCTCTCTCTCTGAACCCAAGTTGCCGCCACCTTCTTCTTCTTCTCTCCTCTTGAACTCTGATTTCTGCTACTTTCTTTCGAATTTTTGCAACTTCCTAAACAGTCCTTTCTTCTCAAAAGGCTGTTTTTCTTCTAGGTATCAAAGCAGGCTCGTTTTTCCCTTTTTTTCACCTTTTTTTCCCATACACTGAATCGTATGAATAGTTAAAGAAACCTATTTCAGCCCAGTTGTTAGTGGTTTCTAGAGAGAAGAGGACTGGTTTTGTCGTCCTCTTGACAAATTCAGGTGTATTGCCCGAAACCCTAATTTTCTGGAGAAATCTGATTGCGGGCCCCACAGGGAGTTTGATCTGGAAGCTCAGTGACTGAAGGCCTTCTCATTCTTCTTCTTGAAGATCGAATCAAGTGGATTGGTGTTCTGTGAAGTCTACAAGGAGCGGCTGAGTTTTCTCTGTTTCTCCCAACTTTCGGGTGTGACGCAGGTTACTGGTACGACTGCATAGAGGTTGGCTCACAACATAGTTTTTGTTCTGTCTTCCTTTGTTGTTATTCGAAGTTGTTTGAAGTCATTTCTGAAGTATTTAAGAAGATGAACTCCTCAAACTTTGAAAACAAGCATGTTGCTGAATCTGGACAGGTTCCGGGAGACTCTGTAAGACTCTCTACTGGCTGTGACCACAGTCAAGCTGGATGGAATTAATTATCTGGCTTGGTCACAATCAGTAAAGATTCATATTTGTAGTAGAGGCAAATGGGGTTTTATCTCCAGGAGCAAAAAGGCTCCTCTGGAAGATGATCCATCATATGAAAAGTGGATGTAAGAAAATTATACTATTATTGGATGGCTTGTGAACTCAATGCAACCACAAATTAGTCAACACTATTTGTGGATGAATTCAGCAAAGG